CATAACCTAGCCTGCTAGCCTTGACTTTTACTTTTGTGGTGTTTTGAAGAGGGAGTGGAAGAAAAAGACCTTGGCCCAGCTTATCAAGCACAGCTCAACAAGTAGATTAATCCAACACAGTGAGCAGGCCTTTACAAACAACTTTGCAATGATCTGTAGTAGTGAAACTCATTGCCCACTATCCAGGAGCAACATGTACGAAGGCATTTGTTATATATTGCAATAATGGTTGTTGTAATTGTTATGGTGTTAACTACCATTAGAGAAATGTGCAAGACACTCTGTGGCAGGGAGAAAGGTGTTATAGCAGATAAAATGACTGGCTGACTGATTCACAGATTCACCGATTCACGATTCACCGATTCACCGAAACAATGGTAAAAAAAGGCTGCAAATTAAACAGGTTCAAAACGTGCGAGTATGATTCAACCCCAGCCATCCCCGGTGCCCGTGAAACTGAGGGCTAGCGGGGAAAAACAAAAACGGGCCGCAGTCTCTCTGCCTCTACACATAAGGAGTTGGAAGGCCACAGCTGTTTGAGGCATAAAAATATAACAGTGAGGTGAACGTCAGCCCACGAAGCAGATAAGCCCCCCTGAGCCAGACTGCTGGCACAAATCAACAGGTGAAAGAGCTGGCTTCAGCAAAACACTTTCAAAGCTCTTTTCCCCCCATTTCAGCCAGCCACTGAAACCTAAGGACAGAAAAGAAACAATTACGAAGAAAAACAAAAGCAGGGACTCGAGAAAAGGTAAGATTTCAGACTGAAATTACACTAGAACCTAGACAAGCACAGAGTTCTGTACAAGCATTCTCTATGTGCTGCGAACAGGGCTGGTGTGGCCTGTTCAGTATATGGATCAGAGCAATAAAATACTGGTTACATCTATAAAACAGTAACCAGAACTCCCAGCACCACAAGGCCCTGCTGAGCCAAGAGCTGAGCCCCCTCAGCCAGCTGGTCCTGAAGCTCACTGACACCAGCCAGCCTCAGGACAGTACGGCTACAACAGCATGAATCAAGGTCAACTTAATCACAGCACAGGCCCAACAACAGTAGCTTACTCACTGAGGCACACACACAAACTGGAACGTAATGTACAAGACCCGAAAAAGACAATGCACACTCCCTGAGTACCTGACCAGGGTAAGAGACAGCAAAGACATACAGACCCTGAGAGAGTAAAGACTTGGTGACCACAGCCTCGGCATAGAAACAGGACACAGGCAGCCCTGGCTGTCCAGAGAGGACAGGCTCAGTCCCCACAGCCTGGACATAGAAATTGGACACAGGCAGACCTGGCTGTCCAGAGAGGACAGGCACACTGTCCACAGCCTGGACATAGAAACTGGACACAGACAGACCTGGCTTTCCAGAGAGGACAGGCTCAGTCCCCGTAGCCTGGCCACAGAAACTGGACACAGACAGAGCTGACTGTCCAGAGAGGACAGGGTGTGATCCCACTGTCAGCAGGGAGGAGTAGAATTAGAGATGCACTTTCTGTTCCTCTGTGAGAAACACTCCTAGAACAGACAAGCATTCTTCCCTGAAGTAACCAATTTAATCCCAGAATTCCCACGCCTGCCAGAATCAGACCATCTACCCAACCCTACTGCCCCTTCCACTACCTTAACGGACAGAAACCACTTCCTGTTAGATGTACAGTCATGACCTCGCCCTGCACAAGCAGCTGTAATGTAAATCCAGCGCTGATCAGTCATACCTGATTACTGCAGCCTGCTCCCCTGACGTAACTCATCTGTTCGGCTATTCGGAAAACAGCCCTTTTGTGGAAACTCAGAAAGCACGAATAAAACTATTAAACACACATTTTGTTCTTCCACCTTTCATAAGCACGCTCCTCCTTGTTTCTAGATTCTAAACTAACGATGTACAAACTTTGCGGTTTAGAAAACTGCTTGAACTACTTTTCTGTGCATAATACCTTGCGCGCATGATGCAGGCTATAAGCACACAAACCATCTGTCCATCTTCTTACCCCTTCTTCCAAATCAAGCTGGCGAGGGAGCCAGAGCCTATCCCACCAAGCAATGGGCATGAGGCAGGCTACACCCTGGATGGGACGTCAGTCCATCCCAGGTCTCACACACACTCACACCCACACCGGGGCCAATTTCCCCAGAAGCCAATTAACCCACCAGCATGTCTTTGGACTGTAGGAAGGAACCCATCTGAACCCTGAGAGAACATGCAGACTCCACACAGACAGCACCCCAGGAACTGAACCCAATTCCAGCGCGGCGAGGGACCAATGCTCACCCAGTTGCGCCACTGTGCCCCCATACAGTCGAGTCGTTGGGAAATAACACAAACCCAGAGGACGCCAATCCTGTTGTTGATACTAAAGATCGATATAGAAGGATTGTGTTGAGTAGGGCTGCACACAGAACGCGTGGAAATTCGGCCTGACGGCTGGAGAATTGATTTTTCAAACATCAATTCGAACAAAGTCGGCGATAAGCCCGCATTTCCTACAGCTCACGGTCGCGTATAGCCTCTGCAATACGGAAACGCCCGGAGTCTTAAATCAAGTTGAGGCGCTAGAAATCCTAACCACCACTGCTGGGATTGAATAAGAGTTTGGTGAACGCAATATCACGGTCGAGCAAATATAGGCCGTTCAGCTGCGTTTGTTCTGCGCGTTTAGAGCCCGGTGTGGAAAAAAATAGTTCGTGGAAAGGACGAAAAAAGAGCCTCATTCTTCCAGCGGAGCCCCACTCTCTTAATGCACCCAGCATCGTCCATCATTCTCTTCATCTAAACCTGCCAGGTAGGTTCTGAATTTGTGTTGACCCAGGCGCGTTTGCTAGCCATTCAAACAAAGCTGATTCGTGTGAGAGTAGTGCTGATCTCCAACCTCCGCGAATCACCTGCAAAAACCCCCAGGTGACTTCATACCCGAGGGTTTTCCCGGGGTTCAGGGAGGGCAGAGGGCATCGGAATGGGCTTTCGTAGTGCAGCCCCACACCCGTGACACGATGCAGCGGGAGGTAACCACGGTGGGGTGACTCTTTTGAAATAACCTCTCGCCCGCCCCCGAAAAAGAGACGAAGCGCGCACGCTGTATTTTTCGTTCACCTTTTTAAGTTTTTTTTTTACAGACTCGCATTTACTCCTCCAAGCTGTTTCACCTTGACGGTGGGTGGACTTAAGGACAACACGAGGTAGGGCAGAAAGTCTACAGTGGGAACATTCCAGGGGGAAAGACAAGTCCAGCGACACCGCATGAACTGGAAAAGCGAGTCACGGGCGACGGGAGACCGGAGGCGAGGGCCCTCCTTGTCAGCACTGTACCTGAGACCGCAATCCCAGCGAGGAAAGCGAGGAGCCGAGCTCGTACCCCAGACATCAGGTGCTGTCGACCCCGGAGACGGGCTCTCCAGTCGCGGCCAGGACGGACGGGTTGTGACGATCCGCCGCGGCGCTCTCAGGCACGGCGTCGGAAAGCAGGAAAAAAATCTTCGCTGCAGATAAAATTCTTTATGCAGCTGTTGACATCTAACTTAGCAGTTGGCCCGAACAGCACAGTCTACCCCCTCCCACCGCATGCAGGCGGGGCTGGAGATCTTGATTCGTTCACTTTTCTCAGGTTAAAGTTTGGAGAGAGAGACGGAAGTCATGCCGCCCATCTACATAGCTTATCAACGACTCTCCTCGTTTTTGCGAGAGAGACCGAGACCACATCTAACCTCGGATCCTACGCGCTGGAGATAGACCTGGACCAGAATGAGTCCAACGTGCTTCTGAAAATGGATTTAGTTCGGGACGTCTGATGTGATTAATAATCCACAGGAAACTGCCCAACTAGCGCAAACGCCCCCCAAAATACTGTAGTTATCTGCTTCTGGGAATACATGTAGGTGAATTGCCAAGGAAGCTTATACGTCGCCAAGACAAAACTGGATCGGGAGCCAAGGCAAAAGAAAACACTTTTGTCGACATCAGAAATCAATGAAGCGAAGAAAAGAGAAGGAGAGTTCGCAGGACAAAACGCGTTTGTCTCTTGGGTGCGTGACTGCTGAGGAGGGGAGAGTCGATTTCCCACGAGGATCGGATGAAATCTTTATTAGAATTTTGGAGTGTTTTTTTTTTCTCTAAAACATGAAGACACTTAATGGATCGATTCTGGTCCGGGCCGCCCTCCCCTTGCCGTTTTCTGCAGAACTTCTCTGCGGATGGAGGATTGTTGGGAGTGGAGAGACCCAGAAATCCCCCATCTTTTCCACGACCCTTGTTTGAGGCTGCAAAACTGTGCAGCCCACCATCCACACCCAAAAAAAAAAAAAGTCAACACCAGCCCAGGTCCTGGAGAGCCACTCGGCTGGATTCCACTACAACTCTGTCGGCTCGTTGACCAAACATCCCCTTCCAGCTCCCGAGGCGGTTAGACAAGACCAAGGAAGCCTGCGGACCCACCAGCATTCCAGCATCAGGACGTTGAGTCCTTCCAACATCACTAACAGCCCCCAGCAGAGGTCAAGATAGACCCCCTCCCCAACCCTGAACACCATCTCACAGAGGTCAACTTATCAAACATGGACGCCACCTCCAGGACAGAAGAGCATCCGCCAGAGGAAAACCAGCTTCCGCTCTCGGGAGCTGGACTGGGGAAACCCGAGTCCCCCCCCCGCCCCATCAAGCCCATCTCCCTCGATCGCGCTTGAGCACAGAAGAACACCTCACAACGGGCTGGAAAACCAATTTCTCTTTATTCAACAGCATTGGGGGACGAGGGGGACGACGCAGGCACCACCCCGCCGGCCCAGCGCCCAGCTCAATCCTCCTCCTCCTCGTCGGCGCCGCCGGCCCCGCCCTGACCCTTCTTGGCGTTCTTCCTCTTGACCCGGCCGGGCCGCCCGCCCCCGTACGGCGAGCGCAGGGAGAAGTCGATGTGCTTCTGGCTGTCCAGGCGCACCACGAAGGAGGGGATGTTGACCACCTGCTTCCGGACCCTGCGGGGGAGGGGAGAAGGAGGAAGGTTAGCGGCGTGGGGCGGAGCCGAGAGTCCCGCCAACCCGGGGGCAATGCCTTGTGGGAAAACCAGACACGTCATGTGACCACACCCAGGCACCAGGACGTGGCTGAGCCCCGAGGCTGGGAAGCACGAACGCCAACTCAACACGACCGTGGTCTGTACAAACCCTGAACGCTACTCAACATTCATCTAGATCAGGGGTGTCCAAACCTTTTTTTTTTATTGGGGGCCAAATATGGAGTGGCAGGCCACAGGCTACCTGTAATAATAAAAATAAACATAATACCACATAAGCACATTCCAATAGTCTGCAATTTCCCTCACGGGATCAATAAAGTATCTATCTAACCGAATTGCATTCCAATTAAATTGCCAGATTAATTCTTGTTTCTTCTCTGGGCAACGGATTTTGTGAGGCACTCCCTTATAAAGCCACCCTCTGCCAAGGGCAGTAGTCTGCCCACCCCTGATCTAGAGGACCTGAAGGTCTCTCTTGCTCTCCAGCCCAGCTGCTCAACTCCCCTCAACCAGTTTCAGCTTCAACCGGTTGCCATTCAATTTCCATCTCGCAGGTTTTACCATCCTCCTACAGAGCAGTCTGCTTTAAGATCCCAGTGCACCGACTCCCGGCTGGCAATCAGCTGCAGAAATCAGATGACCAAGCTCAACTTCAAATGAAGATCAATAAGACATCCTTTCAGATCACCTCTTACTTCCTTCTTTTACGGTCGCAGATGGTTCCATTTGCAACCCTAGACAGGTCGGAGTTCTAGTACGCTATATTATCCATATTGGGGTCAACACTGGGACATGACTCCCCCCCTACAGAGCACAGGGAAGGACTGAACTAAGCATTCCCTTGGTGACTATACAAGCCCAAAGCACTCAGCACAGCGCCGGCGCTTTAAGACTGATATAGCTGGTAAAACCTTAAATCAATTTTATATAGAGCCTCTCATTCCAAAGGATTTCAAAGTGCTTCACACCTACAAGATCCCACCACTGCACAGCGGATCAGGTGGAGAAATAAGGAGGGACAGTGAAGTTAGTTTGAGAAAACTAAAAGTGAGATTTAGTCAAGGACACATAGGTTAACGACCCAGGGTCGTTACCTACAGACCACCATAAGGTCAGTGTTAAGTTTGGTCGTCTCATCCAAGGATACAGCACCGTATCCACTCACAGCACATTAGGGAACAAATGCAGGGTTTTTTTGCTGAGGAGCGCCATCTAGGGGTCCATAAGATGCAACTGCATCGTGTTCACATTCCTACAAGTTTGCAAAGCCTGATTTTATTTCACCACTTCTTAAGCTGCACATTACAGGCCAAGACAAAGGTTTAAGCCCACAGCTCCCACCCCACGTCCAGATCCACTGTAAGTGAGCACATTACCTGTCCACAGACTTCCCATGAGGCCATGCTCTTACACCATTGGCTGGAGGCAGCAGCCGGAGCCCCGCCCACACGCCTACTCACAAGGTATACGGTTTTTGATACCGAATTGACCTTGGCGAAACTGAGAACCCCTTCGTCTCCAGGTGAAAAGTACTGGTTACCTCAGCCCGCAGAGGGCGCTGGGGAGGGGGAGGAGATAGTATCAGTAGAAAACATCTTGGGCAGGCTGGTGCGATATCTGCAGGCCTCCACCAGCAGTGTCTCCTATACTTCTGTAAGCAGCCGGGAAAGGCTTTGTAAAACCTTGCACCTCCTTCTCCGATTTCCCCCAATACCCTCGCAAAGCTATGGAGCTGCCTTGCAAAGGTGTGTGCTCTTCATCATGCTATGCACTGTGTATTAAATACATACATTGTACATGCTGGAATTGTAACACTTACTGCCAGGTCAACTTGGGAGAAAACCAATTGGATTAATAAGCATAAAATTTAAAGTCCGAGAACTCCAATTGAACATTTGCCGATGAGTGGGGCAGTATAATTCACGCAGCACAGAGCTTTGATCATCCACCTTGC